ATTAATGTCTGATGTGTTGATTTTAAAGTCAGAACATTAAAACTAAATAATTACGAAAAGACACATTCATCTTTTCATACAAAAAGTTTACAGTGAATAATTCTGCTTACTATTCTGAAATTTAGTTACAGGCATGTTTAATTATATTTCTTTATTTCAAAGTCAGGTATTACATAAAAATAAGTTATTTTTCTTCCTAATATTTTGCAGACAAATAAAATGGCTTTTAAGATTTTAATTTTGCTGAGAATGAGTCTGATTAGTGTAATTAAATGTCACCGAAACTTTGTTCTTTTTTTTACAATATATATATATATATATATTATGTTTCAGCGGAAATTACAAGATTCGGTTCTATAAAAGGTACGTCATGATTTCTTTAAATTCCCATTCTCTCGTAACTTATCATCATTAATTATTTTTCCTTGATTGTTTTTTTAAATGTTATCAAGTGAATTATCGCCAGCATATCAGAGGCATTTTTGGGCTTCGCCCACATAAATCATGTGTCGCTTAGAGAATTCGTAAGTAGGTTCACCTCGATCAATGATTGTTTTATATCGTGGTGGTTTATCACAAATTTTGTGAATTTGTGTGACATTACGATTGCGTAAGCATCTACAGGTAAACATCCCTACTCTGCAAAGTAGATAGACTCATTTCTAGAAATATCTGAATGATACTTAGCGGAGGCTAAGGCAACTCCTGTAAGAGATGTATATTTTCATTTTTGAAATAATTTAACTCTTTCCGGCACGCTACCTTTTAAAGTCGGAGTTTTGATAAAAAAAAGCATGCGGTCTAATTAGGCCTAAAGGAGTACAGAAGTAAAATTCTGTGAAGATAGCACTTATCGTTTTAATTCTGTGCCCAAAGTGGCACACTGATTGAATAGAGCTTCGAAAAGAGTGCTGAAACGAGCATTGTTGTCAATGAACTGACCGATGAGATGCGGAGAAACAAAGAATACAGACTCTCAGTTGTCCTAGATTATCGGTGAGCACGGTCTGGGCACACCTAGGGTTCACCGTTTGATTTTAGGCAAGATTTCAAGTCAAAAATTTAAAACTAATATAGAATAAGGAGATTAGCATACAGCCAAAAATAACATAGAAATTTCTTTTTAAACAATTCCTTTTATACCCTAAAAAAAATCTGGAAGATTTCTTTGAAAAATGAGGGTCTTAAAAAACTAAACATGGCTAAAATATATGGACTGGTTTGTGTTGAGCTGTCATCTACTATAAATAAGGAAGGTTCAGAGTAACATATAAGTCCTTTTTCATTCAATTTTTCTGTGGGTACAGAAGGAAATTTTTAGGTGTGTCCAGACCGGACACACTGTGCCGCAAAGGGTTAAGCTGCGGTACTTTCTTTTCTTAAAAAAATACTACGGATGGCCAAAAATGATATTATACCTCAATGATCCTAATTTATCTATAACACTTGCATTTATGAAATGCGGGAAAATTGCAATGGATAAGTTTTAGAAATTTTGGAAATCACGCTGTAAATCGTCGAAATTTAGATAGTTTCGATCGAGATCATAAATACATAAGAAAAGAGAAAAATGTTTTATGAAACACGTAAACTATGTTAATATGTGTTATAATTACATAAAATAAGCTATGTATAGAATAATTTAGGGAACCTAAAGTACTGAAACTAACTCGGTCCATTCCACCCATACAAATAAAATGTAATTTTATTCTAACGGGGTAAGATGATTAACAACACTCCTTACGTAGCTTTAAAGCAATGAGGAAAGAGGATTTGCACAATTTACCTTATTTAGTTGAAAATAAGACCTCTTCGAATATTTTTTATTGAACGGCGGTGACCATTTTATTGTGGGGACGCCTAATTGGCGGCCGCCGTTGCCTTCTATGAGAGGACAGACAAGTCATATTCGGGTTTTCTCCAGAATTCGAACCCGAGCCCTTCAGTATCGCATTCGACTCCCCTAACCACTATACCGTCTGGGCGTCTCATCTCGTCGAACATAAGAAGGAATATAGTATTTACATTTTAGGATAAATTTTAAGAAAATAAAAATGTGGGTGAATATTTAACGTTAGCAAGGTTCTGATTAGGATTTAATTGGGTTAATCTTTGGATTTTGGTAACTTGGCGATTTTTTGGCGAAAATTTGGCGACCAACCCTGCTACAGCAACCTGCTAATTTTTGTTTGGACGCCATTTTGTTTTCACGAAGTAAAGGCATTTTTTTTTCTTTTCTAGTCACCTTTATCGCCTTACCAAAATGTCGCCAAACTACCTCGTACCATATTCCAAAGATTAGCCTTTAATTGCTTCTTATTAGAATGAAAGGAAAGTTACCTAGCTGAATATAATATTTTACTATGATATAGAAAGTAAAACTAGGAACTATTAAGGACACACTATGAACTAATTATTTTCAGGCATTCCAGTAACCAACATTGTGGTTGCAGAGGTCTAAACTGAAATCGCAGTATTGCATAGGATTATTAAAATTAACCGTAGTATGCAGTTTATACATAGGGTAATTATCTGAGTCGTTTATCAAGTATTTAAACAGTGTTATTATTCTATATACGATGATAATACGCTTTCCTCTAAAATTCTAAAATCATCAGGATTAATTAACATTATACACATGTGTGAGTACATTTATATCACGAGCACCTACTTTTAAATAACATCTCAGTTTCTTTTTTCATATTACCAAATGGCGGCCTTCAGGTTGACAAATATCCGTACTACTTTCATTTGATTATATTAGTTTTCTGAGATATTACTTTAAATGACATTCCTTACTTTTCATATAGATGTTTTTTTTTAAATTTTTAACATATTGTTTTCGCGACTGCCTTGTAAAGTTAAGCTAAGCCCAATGAAGAACTTGTACCATTTTGTTCCTTTCATAATTTACACAAATATGTTACCAAACAGTTTTCACACAACTAATATAAATTAATTTGCATCAGCAATTTAGTACACTCTTTGAGAATCACTTAATTTATACAAAACTTATATAGATTAAACACAATAACTTAAACTCCAAGAAATTTCTTGGAGAATTTGGTAAAGGCAATGAGGTAGCATGAAAAAATATTTATTCTTTCATACGCTTTTCCATACTCTCATTTGGCAAATAATGTGCTAGTAATTTCCCTTCATGGTACTTACGGAAATTCCCGTCGACCATTTTTGCCTATTAAAGAAAAAACGCCAAACTACGCGATTTTTCGCCAAAAATGAAAAAGTCTTCTTCAAACACGCTGGGTTGGTGTAACCTTGATTACACGTTTAATTATTATTCTTGAGTAAAGACTCCCTTTTTTTTTCCCTCTATCACGCATTTTCGCGAAAAAAAAATGATTAAAATTTGGGACCTGCCAGCTACAGAAGGGCATGATGTTGAATATTTCCAAAGTTATGGAATCTTATCTGCCTCAAAAAAATGTGTTAATGGCCACGAATTGGCGCTTTATTTAAAAACTGAGAAGCAATGGCGTTGCACCGTTAAGGCTTGTGCGAAGCGAGTGTCAATTCGAAAGGTAACGTGGTTAGAAGGTTCTACTATTTCATTTTTGACTGGACTCCGATTCATTTATAGTTAGCGCAGAGAATTGACGATTTCGCGTCAGTCAAGAATTGACGATTGGTGATTTCGCGAAATTTGGTAAGTGAAAAATTTCTGATTTTGGTTAGATCGTAGCAGAGCCCACACCCTTGGCGCGTCCACTTTTATGGCGCGTATCGATGTGTACATGGACAAAGTCAAGGGAGTGCAAAGTGCCAAGTTTGCGCAATTTTGGGATGCTTTTTTAAGGGAAAATAGATCGATGTGTACATGGATACAGAGTTTCTACAATTCTTTGACTTGTTATTTTCAAGTTGGCGATTTTGAGAAACGCGCGAAGCAGTGGGGGATTCTGCACTTTCCCAGTTTGTCGCAAAAGGGTGGGCTCTCCTAGGATTTTACCCTGATTTTTTATTATTATTTGAGGCGAAAAAAAGTATTTCGTAAAACTTATATTTTCTCGCGAAAATTAAAACTTCGCGAAAATAATTGATTTTACAGTATACTTCCTTAATAAAAAATAATAGAAATTTGTAATGAAAAATTAAATATAACTAAATGATAATATAATAAATTTGAAAGAAAAATAAAAATAGAACGTTTTTTTCTTGTATTTAGTAAATGGGGATTTTTGGTTTGGAGCGATTGGCGCCGTCTCTTGTTGTCCTCTGGATGTCTCTGAATTTTTCGTAAGTACCCCCCCTTCACGATAATATCAAAATATTTTATAATAAAAGAGATTAATTGATTTAAATTACAGGAAAGGAATACTGAGAAAGATTTAGAAGCGAAAAATTAAACATATCATATAGCGTAGTGTGAACAACCAATGAACATAATCACCGTGTAATGCTAGTTTTCCCTCGGTTTCTATTTTCGGGCGAAACTGGCATTTCTAACGATATTTCTATTTAAAACTTTAATATGACCTGGTTTCTACGAAACAACATCGAAGGAACGAATTCTTTATTAAATAAATTACTTTTCCGTGTTTTTAGTAAACTTAAGTAAATAATAAGGTTACTTGAAAAACTAATACTTCTCGACAGATCTCTAAAACCCAGAGTATGTTTCTTTGCCGTGTTACATTTTAAATTCTTTTGTAATTCCTTCATAATACCAAAAACATAGAAAAAGTGGCATTTTTATTAAAGGAAATAAATCATTATAAATGTATTAACTCTTTTAATTCGAATTAAATCTCAGGAGTCACATATGACGTATTGCCCAAACTATAAAAATGCGTTAACTCTGAGAATATGAATATTTAATTACTAACTCTACATATACGTTCCTAATAAACTCTTTCACATACTTACAAAATTTAAATTCCATAGAGAACTAAAAATAAAGTAGACTTAAAACAAAGAACTTAAAGGTATAAAGTAGTCCAACCAAACAAAAAATTGCGTAAGTAATCTTAATATCTTACCGCTTCTGTGTGAATTGGGTGAGTTGCAAAAAGCAGTGCTGCTGTAGTTGAATCTTCTCGTGACCATCTCAGTACTTCGAAGCAGAGGAAAGTGACCATAACCGAAACACATATATGGAGGCTTACATTCACGAAATGATAACTCCAAGCCGATAATCCGCAAAACACATGGTTCAACCTGCAAGAGATATTATATGAGTTACAGCTTGTTTTGTTAGGTATAAATACTTTACTTCAGAGTAGAACACGTTTGAGTGGAGCACATTTTAAAAATTTCACATATAAAATATTATGAAAGTTGATAAACACAAAGTTCTCATTCCCAGGTTTTATATAATTCTGAATATTTAAATAACTTCCTTTGCTAAAAAAATTACTTACGGAAAATGTGCACTTTTCAAATGAAAAATATTTGTCCTTAAAATTTTACATTGCCACTATTCTTTCGTAAATACACCTTTCTTTTCTGTGTATGAAGCTTCATAAAACAATATAAATGCTTGAAATGTTAATATTTATGTGCAGAAAAACATGCATAGTTGGGAAATTGTTTGCTCAGTTTATTATTTCATCAATATTTGATAATAGAAGAAAGTAGAAACGAAAAAAATGCCCCTCAGTATGCCAGACGTATGATAATTATTTTCATAGCTAATGTGATCATGATATCAAGCATCTGAGTAATTCATAAGCGGTAATGTTCTTCGCATTTACTTTGCTAGTAAAATTTGGCAGATTTTTTTCGTAGGTCATCATTTGATAACTGGAAAGCGGCAAACAAATATTTTTCGTAGCAAAAATCGCGTCTTTAGCTAATGCTAAATACAGCTGCCTAAAATCGGCCGAAAAATATACTGTTTTTGGTGCAGACTTTTACTTTGAATCCAAATGCCAAGAAATGCATAAACATAAATCAACATTTTACTGCTATCAGAATTTATGGACTAGAAAATTAGATATGCTCTGCAATGACACATCAGTAGTTCTTAGGTACCAGTAACAAGAACACAAGAATATGTTGAACAAATATGAATAATAATGGCGGCAAATTAATTTTTAAAGCTTTTTAAAAATATAATAGTAATTTAACGCAGCTAAGACTCTTAAGAACGAAACATGATTCATAGATTATTTCATTCTTCTCGCTTTTTGATTCTTTAGCTTTACCCATTCCAAAGAAAAATAAGGCTGAGGCAGAGAACCCTTTTGTTCTTGGTTTAATTAAGTAACCTAATCCATTCCATCTATTATTTTATAGCATAATGTTACTACAAAGGTTCATTTAGTCCCATAAATAGCAAGATTATTCATTGTCATTCTGTGCATCGTTTAGGTTATAATTAATTCGTTACTTTCTTATAACAGGAATTTTCTGAGATAAAAACTAAACTAAAATATTTGAATCAGGGAACAAGTAAATAGTTTCACTAACGATTTCTATTAGCATTTTAGCAGTCACTAATCAGCGTGTTCCATGGCACATTACAGTAATAAACTAACCAAAACTGATTATTTCGTCGTGTTATGCATTACTAATCAGATTGATGATCTAACAAACGCACCTTTAAGAAACAGGTTTTCTATATTTAGTTACTATTGTACTTAATGAATTCATTATTAACTTTCCCCTTTTGAGAGGTTAATTTAACATGTCTGTTTGGATTTCAGGTTTAACTCTTTCAGCTGAAATACATTTTGTACAACAATATAATATATATATATATATTAGATGTTATAAAACCATTTGCTATTATCTCCGTTTCCTTAAAGGAAATATTTACAGACATTTTCTAACAATTGTGTTCAATGAAATATGCGCAATTCCGTGGACAGTAAGATTCTAATTTCTGAAATTATTACAGTTTTAACAAGAAGTGAATTTAAGTTTCCTCAGAAATTAACCTAAAAATGCTCAAACAGATTATCATAACCTCTCATCATTAATTAACATAAATCTAGATTATATTAATTATCCGGTTTACTCCTGATAATAATCATTTTGAGCAACATATGCGTTTTTCTCAAGAGTTGTCTTGAAAAGTATAATACAATTACTCCAAACATTAACTTACAGTGTTAAAATTAAATATAATTAAGACTTAAATAAAAAAAAATATCCTGTGTATGCATTTATATTGCATATATATTGCTCACATGCGTATGCATCGCAAATGTGCGTATATACATCAAACGCATATATATATATAAATATATAGCATAAATATCAAAATTATAGCATGCATTTATAATCATAAATTGTCGCACACCTGCTGAGGTGTAAGGATTTTCATAACATTTATATTTCTAAAGTCTTTCACATCGGCATAGGCCCAGATCTGTTTCTCTCAAACATCTGAAAGGCCTATATTTGCGAATACTTGTTGGAATGGATTTTCTTCTCCCATGCCAAATAGAATGCAACAGTGTTAATAATAACTTGCTTACTTGAAGCGATTATTTCTCTCTTGGCGAGTTTTGAGCAATTTCATCTGCTGTTTGCTGGTTCCCGTTAGGAGAGGATTGCAACTGCTAGCATCAATAGCTAAACATTGAAGCTAAGCAAAGGAAATGGAAGTTGAATTCAGAATCAGAGCTACTTCTAGTCGAAAAATCAAAAGAATGATTGGCATGTCATTTAAGAACTCCCGAAACCAATGAGACCTGCACTAACGTCATGGGAAAAACCACCAGGTAAAAAATGGACGTAGGCAGTCGGGCGAACTACCGATGTCCGAATGCACGGGCGACGCTGTAAAAGGTTTAACGTGAAGAATTGTACATTTCGACATGTCTAAATAAAATAATTATTTAATAGGGTCATTAAGATTTGCTGAAGAACTGTTTTTCTGGTAAAATTACATTAAAAAGGAACGATGAAAAGCGACTGTGGTCAGCACTTACTTCATTCTAGTTCAAACTCACATTACCAAAGTTTTGAAGTTAATCTTATGTTTCAAGCACTCAAATCATAACAAAGTACGCACACGCACACAGTAAAACCTCTCAATAAGCAAGCCATCGTTTGGATAAATAACAGAACGATCGCTTTTTATTTTTAAGTTTGGTAATTTAATGGAGAAGTATAGGAAATGTTTTAAACTTTAATACATCAATTGAAATATAATAACTTTAATTTTATATAATATTTAAACTTTAAATTAATATAATAACTTTAATTTTATTATAAATAATATTTTAAACTTTAATATATTAATGATTTAAACTTTAATATATTAATTGAAATAGAAGCAACCAAACTATGCCTTATTAAGAACGTGAAACATATTGGAAATATAAATTTGAGTGAGGCTGCTTACTAATGCCTCTTTTCGTAATTAATGTTTTAACTAATCATTATCTCTTAATTAACTACAAAGTGTAAAAATAACCGAGTTTATTTTTCCATGTTGAAAATAATTATTTGTCTTTAAACGACTTACCCTATACTTTATTACTTGGAACAAAAGTAATGTTATGTGCTTTATAAATCAAGATACTAAATGACAAAACACCTTGGTATCCACATACAATTTCACAAATGTTATATATTAATATTAGATTGCGGTAATATTATTTAAATCACTTTAAATATACCTTTTTGATAATATACTAACAATGCAAGGTTGAATAGAAGATTTAGTTAATGGAAAAAGAAAATAATATAAATATGCAAGTCGCTTCATGCAATGAGTGCGCAGTAGTTTTGATGCAAGGGAAATAGTGATGAAATAATGCACTGCAAAAGAAGTATTATAAATTATGCAGTTTGCTTTGGCTTTTAAGCGTCGCTGGTTTAAAAGAGCGGATGTGCTCAGAATAAAATTGCATCAGAAATGAATCCTTTTGTAGGTTCTAATAACTAATTAAGTTTCCGGTTTCAATAACATTTTATCTGATTTACAGATAATAAATGCTTTCCTTTTAAATACCGAGGAAGCGATTATGAGTTTTGAGTGTCGTTGTGTTTCAATGTAAATTTTCTGTTAAATGACGGTGTTCGGCTAGCATTATTCAAATACGTAGTAAATTCGGATTTTTATGATTTTAATAATGCATTAAATTCAATTATATCTATAAGAATGGTTATAAAAGATTGATTTTGCCAAGGCTGATGCATATATGCTGATAACGTTATTCCCACTTTAACACTGCAGGATCAAATTTCCCAATGTCTTTTTATCGTGATTGCGATTGTTAGGCATTTCATGACACTAGAAATATTGAGCATATTATAATACTCACTACATATTAACATTTGTCGTACAAGACTGCAAAGAGGCCTATTTGGCTACAAAGAGATTTACACGAAACGAAACTCATACTTAAAAACGTATCGGCTTATGTTTAATAGTGACATATTTCTTTAAGATATAAACTCATACTTGCCAGTATGCAACTTAACACTTAACTTAACACTGCCAAATAAATGTCGTACATACAAGCGGCCAAACAAGTAATAGTACGGATATTGCATTATTGATATCCGTACTATTACTTGTTTGGATATTACATATCTTTTGCGATTATTGAATTCATGACGGGAATGAATTTAAAAACTGGTATATTGCTTGATTTCGAACACTGATGCGATGCAAAAATGCAACATTATAATATTTATTTTATGATACAAATATTGATTTAAAGTATCATTTAATTCAAATATTAGAGGCTAAACATAAAAGATTCATGACACTGAATCTTAATTTCAGTGTCTTCTAGCCTATTAACCTTCTAACCGCAACATCCGTGAATAACGCGTTTCTCTCCGTCAGTCTATGATTTCGCTTCTAATTTAAGATTTATCAAATCTCCTTTATTATGAATTTCGTACCCTCGGTCAGAGGATTAAATATTTATGCTTAAGTATTTGCTATATTTTCACATAGAAATCATTAGACGTGCTCTGAATTTTACAAACGTTTCGACAAGATCCAATTTACAAAACAAAAGTTTCTCAAAATCCAATTTACGGGAAAGTTTTCTTCAGGATATTATAAATATGTAAATAATCCCCATCACTTCTGCTTTTTATATATCAAGTTTAATTTTGGTTTTAGTTATTGCTAATTATCATATATGCCTTATACTTACACAACGTTAGTTTTAATTGCTCTGTACTCTAAGACTGGGCTGAGAATGTTTTATACTTATTGACATAGGCCAAATTAGAAATTCTTC